GCAAATAGATATATGTCTACGGAAACGTGTGTAGCGATTGTTAACTTTTACCCGTGACATAACCCTGCTTAACGAAATTTTAATGCTTTGGAAATAGGATCGAATGTAATGTTAAACCCTCACCGCATGATTTATTCCATAACTAGCTCCATCAGAACTTTTTTATCATTTGTTATTTTTTTGTCGTGGAGAAGGATCATGTGTATGTTCATTCGATATATTTAATATAGAATTTCGTTATTCATGATTATAATGTAACGTTACTTTCGAATTTATTAAATTTAATTTGAAAATCTTCGCGTCGTGTTTGGTTCACTATTGTAAGAGAAGGGGTTGAAGTAACGCTATTGTTATGAATTACGACTACGTTCCACATACTACAGAATTCTTAGTTAATGCAGATGGAAATGAAGGTTACATGCAAACAGAATGTGTTCATTCATATAAATACAGAAAATATTTTTATCAGTGTCGCTTTCAATGTTTACGTATCGGTTTCTATGAGAGAATTCCACAGGTCGAAAACTCTTGCAATCTTACATAGAGCTTATATTTGAATATTACGGGCAGTTTACTCCGGAAAATCATTCGGACAAAAATAGAGTTCCTTTCTTCGGTAAAGTGAGGGAAAAACGGGGAAATTGTATCGGTTCATCGCACGATCGTGCCAGGGCGATGTCAAGAAACGCAGGCCGAGATGCCGAGTGGTATCGATTCAAACATACGGTGATCTACCACCGCGACAAGGTGAACGATCGTCCTCGAATAGAATACTGCTGTCTTCTCGTCAGTTTCAGTGAACATTAAAGGTATAGTGAGCCGGCGGGATCGGTTAAAGAAGAAAGTGACCTGAGACCGAGGTCAGACCATAAGAAAATTACTTCCATTGAATTTCTTATTCGAAACGTAGGGCTAGTCTTGACGGGTCGACTCTTTACAACAGATTATACGTTGTCTTTGGTTGAAAGACAGGAATGGTACTGATCGCAAAAAAGTAAATTGACAGCGAAATACTCGGTCGTAGACCAGCGCACCATCTGCCGCTGTCAAGTGGTCTGCGTTTATTTATTTTTTTGCGAACAGATATCTATTTTCATACGTTATTACCTAGTTAAATCCAACAAAGAAAAAAGATTGACAAAACAACCCGTTGGTTCATGGGGTAACGTTATCTTGTAGTTTGCGTACATTCGTCTTAGGGGTTACAACCCATAAGAAAGATCGATTTTATCGCGATAGACGACAGCTTTAGTTTGACGTGTATTCAGCTTCGAACAGTCCTCTGCGTTTCGACTTTCCGAACTTATATCGAATAAATGATCGAACGGTAAAACGCCGATTGAGAATCGCGTGTCTAATCGGAGGGTGTCTTTGCAGAATCGTTTCTCACGGGGAACGATAGACGACAATCGGGCCGGCCGTTCCACAAATTCATTCAACGACGACAAGGCTCGATCGTTTACGATTCAATTGCCGATACGCAGAAGTGCGTGAGTACACGCGAGTCGACCTTCTGCATTTGCACGCGCGCAGTTTGATACGGCCGCGCGCCGTCTGCTTAGCGTGCACCAATATCGCCGCGATATATGTTTGCGTGAATGTGCATGAGATTCGAAGCAACAGCTGAGCAGCTTAAAGCACCTGCGCTCAATAGGCCGACATATTCCATAGTTTGCCTACGCACGAGCCGCCTGCGTTCGAGGACACGAGTACTCGTCCCTATATATCGACAGAGCGACTAGACGTATGTATACGCGCGCGGCTCATGAAGCAACAAGGAGGCTCAAAGAGAAATGCGTATATAGCAACACGTGGCAAAAGCGGCGAATTGGTGG